AGGCTTTTCTATAAGAATGGACAGAATACTCTTGTCAAAGGGCTGATCACCAATAGAAGGCTTTTGAAAGTACCCTAAGAGTCACATGTTCTAGGATTGCATGTTCTGTTTGACCGAAGGTCACAGGTTCTGTTCATTGCTATTGGTTTTCCTTTTGTTTTACTATGCACTCTTTTAACAATTAAACATGGTTAATGTTTGCATTTCAGTTTTTATTGGGTTGTACATAGTTCAGAGAACGATAATTATTGGATAGCCTAGAAGTAGAATCAATCAATCATTTGTTCTCTTCCATAACATCATGCACAATACCACATATGGCCCTCGGCAAGAAAAATTAATGGGAATAATTATGCATTACAGTATATGTTTTTCTGAGGTATGATAGCTGGGTTCTGCCATAGAAAATTCATATATGTTTAATACAGGGATGGGCAAACTTTGGCCCTCCAGGTGTTTTGGACTTCAACTCCCACAATTCCTAACAGCCATTAGGAGCTCAGCGGAGCACATTTTGAGAACCTACAGGAATGGTAGGACAGGTATGTAATTTTGAATTTGTTAACACACTGATTGTGTTGTTTCTGCAGAATAGGAGTTACAGAAGCTATAAGTATAAAAACACTTTTCCAGAACAGCAAACTGTTTCTATGAACTAGAAATATATTGGATGCTTAGACATTGAGAGATCTGAGCAAATTGCTTGTGGTATCCTGGAGGCTCATCATATGAACAATCTCACAATTTTGAACAGTTCTCCTTAACCGAAAGGCAGACTACAGGTTAATTTGCTGGTTCTCTGCCTTCAGATTTATAGTTTAAATAAAACAGGATGCAAAAGGAAAAGGGAAGGATGTGGGACAGGGATTAAATTTATCAGGAACTGCAAGTTCTCTCACCCTCCAGTGGTAGCTGGGATGGATAGAATTTCCTTTGCTTCTGGTCTAGGCATGCTTATTATCCTCTTTTCAAGACCATGGCAGTGGCAGCTGAGATGAAGGGGAGGCCTTTCCCCTGCTTTTGGACCTAAGGATGATGAAGCTGTGCCCATCTCATATTATCTTCCTTTGTGGGCAGGGCAGTGGCAGTTGGGAGGGAAGATTTTCCATTTGTTTCTGAGCCTAGGCATGCTTATTTTGCTCTCCTGCCAAAGCAATGGCAAGAGGGATGGTGGAAAGGCCCTTCATCTGCTTCTGGGCTCAGGCATGATGAAGCTGTGCCTGCCACTTCTTCCTCACAGAACATGATTATATTTTACCCAATAGTGCCTGATTTTTCTGGAACTCATAAACCAATTGAGCAGAGGTTGCTGGGTCAGACATAACGTGAGAGTGATGCTCACTTCCTGTCCTGTTCAGCAGAGACCAGGTGTATGATGTCTACACTGCTTCTTGTATCTGTGTGGGCACCATGTCTGTTAGTGTGCTGCTTCCTTTGTAAGAGCAACAGTAGCCGGAAAGCGGTGAGGACAGGCCATTAAAGTGAATCAAATCCTTTGGCTGACAGAAAATATACGGTAACTTAAGAGCATCATGTGCTGAAACATTTTATGTACTCCCAACTTTAGGGAAAAGAAGAAGGGGTTCAGTTGGACTTCAAAGCCACCCAGTGAGTTGCAGGCTATGTCTGGAAGAAGGTATTAGCTAGAAATAGGAGAGCACGCATAAGTGGATTTTGGTGGGTGCCTAGTCAAGCATTTGTTTCCATAGTTGAGAAAGCACTCCTGTAGCTAGAAAAACCATACCAGTGCATCTCCTTTAAGTGGTGAAGGACAAAGTTCAATGGGATTGAAATACATTCAAAATTATGAGCAAAATTGTATGTGTGGGGGATTACCATATAATCCACTGGGGAATGGTCTCCACAAAAAGTGTTTCCTCATTCACATTCAAAATGGCTACTCAGCATGGCCAGTGGAGGGTTGTAAAAAGCTAGGAGCAAAGTTTAAAACTCCAGTGGTATTGTGATGTAGTCAATGAGTGTAATAAACACAAAATAACAAAGTAAAATACAACACACAAATACAACTTGATTTGACCACACAGTTCAAAGGAATCTATCATTAATTGGCAACAGGTGGAATATAAATAATATGATGGTTAAGAACATCATACTGATTTATATCAAATTATTTCTACCAAATAAAAATCTGCTAGAAATACAAAACATGTGTCTTCCTAGAAATACACAGTGTTAGAAAAACATACACATAAATCCTAGAGCGAATCAGGTTCCAACTCTCTCTAGAAGTCAAATGACTAAATAGAGGCTGACATACTTTGGCCACATCACAGGAAGACGGGATCAGCTGGAAAGCTTGGCAAGGTAGAAGGCAGTAGGAAAAGAGGAAGACTTCATTCCAGATGGATACAATGGTCTTGGGTCTGAAAGACCTGAAGAGGGTAACTTGGAGGTCTCATTCATGGGGCCACCAAAATTCAAAATCAACTTGAAGGCAGTTAACAACAAAACCGTCTTTCTCCCATATTAGGATAATAAAATATCACTATATGTGTACTTGCCTTCAAGTCATCTGTTGACTTATGGCGACTCCATAAATTTCATAGAACTTTTAAAGACAAGGAATATTCTGAAGTGGTTTTTCTAGTTCCTTCCGCTGCTATAGTGGCCTACTATCCAAGAGCTAATCAGAGCTGATGTTGCTTAGCTTTCAAGATCAGGCGGGATCTGGTGCCTTTAAAGTATTAGGCCACAAAATATCACTAATCTGACAAAAATAGGATTCGAAAACACTTCTATGTACAAGTAAAAAATATCTGTGCAGAAGGGCAATGAGGTGTAAGCTGTTGCTTAATCTGCTACTAGGCTATACATGCTGAACTATCCTTTATAAAAGTATATTTAAAGTTATTTTATATGGGGGAATTGGCAATTTCCTTTCCAATATTCCAGGGACATTGGCAGTTAAAATAGAATCATACTGTTTAATACACGGTGGGTGTGAAATTACCTCTGGTACCCAGACAGGCCCCCTAAGCAGAGTAAATGACACCCGACGATAAAGGTCCCTTTTGTGATCATCAGTCTGCCCACCTCTGGCCTGCTGCAACCCTTTTTTGTAGCTTCTGTAAGCTTTGCCGGTGCTTGCTTTGAGCAGTGGTTCCTAACCTTTGGTCATCCAGATCTTTTGGACATCAGTTCCCAGATATCCCTGCCAGTTTACCAGCTGATAGGAATTGTGGGAAGTCCAAAATATCTGGAAGAGCACAATTTGAAAAACTCTGTCCAAGAGGATAAGGTTCTACATACCCAGAGAAATATCTGTTTTTTTGGTGGTGGTGTCAGCAGCAATCTCCCACAAAGATGACAACATGGGTATCAGGGATGGTGTGAGAAGAGTTTTGTGTGAGAATAGACTGTGAATATATGCCTGTGGAGGAGGGGGCAAGGAAGAATTGTGCATGAGTGCACAAAATTTGTTTCAAACACTAAATTATTAAACATATTGTGTCAAACTACCTTCATGCTATGTTTATAAAGGGTACATGAGACATACATGAATTTCAAAGTTAGACTTGGGTCCTAGTTCTAAGACATCTTATTTTTGTAGATGCAATTATTCCAATGCCCTACAAATCCGGAAATCCAAAACACTTGTTGAGTGCATCTTCACGCTACTATATTTATTATTTATTTATGACATTTATATGCTGTGCTACTCACCCCAAAGGGGAATACTACTACTACTACTTCCGCACTAAATACAAAGTGCTTGTTATTACCTATAAAGCCCTGAACGGTTTGGGCCCAGACTATTTGGCCAACTGCATCTCCAAATACAAGCCTTCTTGGGCACAACAATCAGCAGATGACACCCTGCTCTCAGTCCCACTCCCGTCTCAGATTTTTTTTATCTTGTTTTTTTTTTTTCTCTTTAAGTTAGGTGTGAATTTGTAATTTTGTTGTTATACCTAAATTTTTGTAATGTCTTTATTATTTTAATGTGGATGTTGATTTGTTTTGTGAGACTTGGGTGGCTTTGGTTATTTTGTTCTTCGCCCAGCACCGTACGGCATTGAACGTTTGCCATAGGAAGATAGGGCAGGATAAATATAAAGTTTTATCTTATCTTATGGTGAATTGTCCTATTGATTTTATGCTAGTTATATGTTGTTGATTGAGTTTTGGTTTAAGTATGTAAGGCACCTAATTTTGCCATTATTTTTGTGTAAACCGCTTTGAGTCCCCCTCAGGCGTGAGAAAAGCACCACATTTTTTGGACTAATTTGGAGCATGTTCACTTGGTGAACTGTTTTAAAATGTATATTTATTATTAAAATTATATATTTATTATTATTAGTAGTAGTATCTTGGGTTTGTCTCTGTTGAACTTCACTTTGTTAGTTTTGTCCCATCTCTCTAATCTGTCGAGAGCGTTTTGAATCCTGCTCCTGTCCTTTGGAGTATTGGCTATCCCTCCAAACTATCTACCATCTGCAGTATTCCACAGCATTGAGCCATGCCGGTTAACGTGTAGAGCAGTCCCACACATCCTGTTGTCCTTCAGGTATCTAGGACTCCAACTCCCAGCAGTCCTTAGCTAGCTCCTCCAGTGGCCAGTATTCTGGTTGCTGGAGTCCAAACACCTGGAAGACTGCAGTTGTGCAGGTAGGATTTAGAAGCACCTCTCCTCCCAAATATTTTGGATAAGGCAAGCCTGGGCAAACTTGGGCCCTCCCTCCAGATGTTTTGGACTCCAACTCCCACCATTCCTAACAGCCTCAGGCCTCTTCCTTTTCCCCCTCAGGCGCTTAAGCGGCTGAGGGGGAAAAGGAAGAGGCCTGAGGCTATTAGGAATGGTGGGAGTTGGAGTCCAAAACATCTGGAGGGAAGGCCCAAGTTTTCCAGGCTTGGGATAAGGGATATGACACCAGACACAGCCATGTTGGGAAGCGCTTGGTTTCCATGTTTTCTTCATATAATCTGTGAAAATAGCAAGAAGACAGCATGACAAATCCGGCATCGTTTGGCCCACGTACTTGCTTTGGGAGGAGCCGCCGCTTCGCCTGCCTCACCCTCGCCTCTCTTCGGGGGCCGGCCCGCCCTCGCGCCGCCTCACCCGCCGCGCTCGCGCACGCCAAAGAGGGGCGGGGCCTCTCGGACGAGCGGCGCGCGCGGCAGCCTCGTCCCTCTCTCGCCTCGCTGGGCCCCACCCTACGGAGCATGCGCCGTGGGCCTCCTGTCTCCTTTCGTCTGTTTGAACAGGAAGGCGGACATATTTGTGGTGACTCTCTTTCCCACCCCTCCTTGGAGAGGAGCGAGCCGCAGCAGCACCTCCTCAGGCAACAACGGTGGCCGCCTCAGGCCTTTCTTCTTCGCTTCGGAAGGAAGAGGCGAACCCTTCACGTCGGGAAGCGGATCTTGGGTTGAAGCCGCACCACCATTTTTTTTCTCCTCCTCCTCCTCCTTCTTTCCCTCAGACTTTTGTGGAAGGCCGGCGAAGTGTGGAGACAGACAGGAAGGGAGAGAGAGAGAAGCCCTGCAGGCTGTGAGTCGGACTGAGGGGGAAGGGGCCTCCCTCTCCTTCGCAGGCTTCCTGTTTTCATGGTAGGCCGCTTCCCCGCCTCTTTCCCCCTTCGCCTTTCCTCCCCTTGTTTCAAAGCGGCGGCGACTGGGTAGCTGGCCCCGAGGAGGGGCGGCGGAAGGAGGCGGCTTGGCTACGCTGGCTGACCGGGGAAATGCGGGCGCAGAGGCCCCGGGCCCCAGGCGGGAGACGAGAGGAGGGCGGCAGGGCATAACGACGACGACGACGCCGCCGCCCCTGAGACCCGTGTGGACTACTGGGAAGAGTCCCGCTTTTGGACTCTTTCGCGCGAGGATGTGTGGCGGGGAGAGGATGCGGGACAGCCCCAGCCCAGCCCCGGCCTTTTTCTGAGGGAGCGGGCCTTCCGTTTTCGTTGTTCTGTGGATTAAGGCGGCCACCAGGACCACCACCACCTCTCCAGGCACCATGTCGGCAGGAGAGAGCTTTGAGTCCCGGTTTGAAAAAATCGGCATGATGATCAAGGACCCCAAGTCGGAAGTGAACTCGGACTGCTTATTGGTAAGTCTGGGAGGGCAGTATTTATTTATTTAGGGCTTTTATATCCTGTCCTTTCTCAACCTCCGCAGAGAGACTCAGGACTGCTAACAAAGTGGCACCCCATGGCGCCCACATCAAAACATAAATATATAATTAACACTAATGTAATAACAACAGTATAAACAGGACGCCTCCTGCGAAAAAAAAGCCTCTTGACCAGGCATGGGCCAACTTGGGCCCTCCAGGTGTTTGGGACTTCCACTCCCACCATCCCTAACAGCCTCAGGCCCCTTCCTTTTCCTCCTCAGCCGTTTAAAGTGGTTGAGGGGGAAAAAGGAAAGGGCCTGAGGCTGTTAGGAATGGTAGGAAGTTTATTATTATTTATTTAGGACTTTTATATCTCGTCCTTTCTCAACCTCCGCAGAGCGACTCAGGACGGCTAACACCGATTTAAATCATTATCCAAGGGCAGTTGAAGTCCCAAACACCTGGAGGGCCCAAGTTGGCCTAGTCTGCCCTTGACGTTTGCCTCCTTCATCCAGGGCGACGTGTGCGATGCATTTCTCCAAGGGGCTGTTGCCCAGCTTTTACTTTGTCTTGTGTTACCCAGTGGTTCTCAACCTGGGGTCCCCAGATGTTTTTGGCCTTCAACTCCCAGAAATCCTAACAGCTGGTAAACTGGCTGGGATTTCTGGGAGTTGTAGGCCAAAAACATCTGGGGACCCCAGGTTGAGAACCACTGTGTTACACATTTGCGCTGACCATTTGATTAAGTTTCGAACCGAAAGTGGGTTCTCTGTGCAGATGGTTACAAAGGAAATCCTGGAACCAGTTTGAGGACCGGAGGGTGATCACACAGACCACAGAGCAGTGATGCACATTAAGGACTTTCTTTCATGTGCCTTTGTCAGAGTTTCCTGTTAGTTCGCCACTGTTTGAAATTACCATCAATTTACACCAGTGGTTCTCAGCCTTTTTTTTTCTTTTTTTTTTAACCAGGGACCACTTTGACTTGGGACAACTTTCCAACATTAGTACCGAAAGGGTCAACTTTAGATTTGGTTTGGTTATTGGGGTTCTGATTTAGAAAATTGTCGTATGTCCACACTACCTAAAAACATGATTTTAGTTATATGCTAAATATATGCTTGTTATGAGTTCCTTAGTGGCATAATCTTAAAGGACATGTCAAAATAACTTCACAGTGCTTCATTTAAGCATCACAGTATTGCCAATGGTAGGTCAGAATCTATTAGTGTACCATAGTTGCCTTATGTAGGTGAGTTCCTTGGTAGGAGATTATTTAGTTGTTTGAAGAGCACTAAAGGGATTAAAGCATTTGACTGATTTGGGCTCTAAGTAAAGATAGAATTCTACTGATGAATCTTCTTGAATGAAGTGTTTGCAGCTCATCATTCTAAAGCTAAGCAGGGTTAGTTTATCTTAAATGTGAAACATCAGAAGTTGTTGGAATTCCCTGAATGTTGTTCTTGTCAGTCCTTAAACCATTGCTGATCTATGACAACTCTAATGACTTCATATCCTATCCACTTTAAATCCATTTGCTGCCTCTTGCAGAATTCTGGAGTTTGTAGTTTAGTGAGGACCAGGACCTCTTTGGCTGAGCAGTTTAAAAGCCCTTCCCTACACTACAAGCCCCAGAATTCTGTAAGAGGTGGATTTAAAGTGGATAGATGCTCTAGTGCAGTGTTTCTCAACCTGGGGGTCGGGACCCCTGGAGAGGTCACGAGGGAGTGCCAGAGGGGTCACCAAAGACCACCAGAAAACACAGTATTTTCTGTTGGTCATGGAGGTTCTGTGTGGGAAATTTTGGCCCAATTCAATCGTTGGTAGGGTTCAGAATGCTCATTGATTGTAGGCGAACTATAAATCCCAGCAACTACAACTCCTAAATGTCAAGGTCTATTTTCCCCAAACTCCACCAGTGTTTACATTTGGGCATATTGAGAATTCTTGCCAAGTTTGGTCCAGATCCATCATTGTTTGAGTCCACAGTGCTCTCTTGATGTAGGTGAACTACAACTCCCAAACTCAATGTCAATGCCCACCAAACCCTTCCAGTATTTTCTGTTGGTCATGGGAGTTTTGTGTGCCAAGTTTGATTCAATTCCATTGTTGGTGGAGTTCAGAATGCTCTTTGATTGTAGGTGAACTATAAATCCCAGCAATTACAACTCAAGCAGGACAAAATCAATACCCTCCCACAATCCCACCAGTATTCAAATTTGAGTGTATTGGGTATTTGTTCCAAATTTGGTCCAGTGTTTGAAAATACATCCTGCATATCAGATATTTACATTACTATTCATAACAGCAGCAAAATGACATTTATGAAGTAGCAATGAAACTAATTTTATGGTTGGGGGTCACCATTACACGAGGAAGCGTATTATGGGGTCGTGGCATTAGGAAGGTTGAGAACCACTGCTCTAGTGCGATGAAGTAGTAAGGCAAAGCTATCACAGGGTTTTCTTGGCAAACTTTGTTCAGAAGAGGTTGAAACTGTGTGACTTGCCCAAAGCTACTCAGTGGGTTTCATAGCTGAGTAGTGATTCAGAACTCCCAGAGTTGTAGTGTAATGCTCAAGCCACTACACCAAATGGAGCAGAAACAGATATTTGTACATTAATCTAATACTGAAATACAGCAGCCCCCAAGTTACAAATGAGATAGGGTCTGTAGGTTCATAAGTTGAATTTGTTTGTAAGTTGGAACAGGCACATTTTTAAGTGTAACTCCATCCAAAACTATATATGTTTTAAGCTTTGACTAGCTTAGGGGAGGGTTGACACCTCTGTGGTGTTTATTTTGCTGTCTGTGCCCCTGTTCAGAAGAGTTCACATCATTTTCTTTTCCCATGAGAACTGGGTTTTGAAAATTTTGGTTTGTTATGGAAATAAGGACTGGTGATAAAGCTTCAGTTGAGACACCTTTTCACCATGGTAACTCTTTCAGGAATGAATTTCCCTTCCTAGGGGCAGATTTCTCTCACTTCGTGTTGTCTCACCCCTATTCTTAACTATGAGTCATTTGTAATTTGGATGTTTGTAACTCATTGACTGCCTGTGAATTACCTAAAAATCAAGTAACCTTGTACGCAGTGAATGTACATACGTGCAGGCATAAGAGATTTTCTGTGATGCAGAATTAAACTGGTCTACTTTCTAATTTGTCTCTTATTGACATGACCCTTCTGATCCATGACAGCTGCGCCAAATGTCACTTAGCTGTATTATCATGAGCTGAACTTAATAGAACCAAAGGCAATGGGTGCTGAACGTTGGCTAGGCCTTAAGTACTTGATCATAACGTCAACCTTTCAAATTAGGCTGTGTAAATAAGACCTTAGATAATGGTCATTCTTGTTTTACTCCCATAATAAAACAAGTCACAGCTGCAGAATATGACAGTGTGGTAATCTTGAGGAAGTTATTGCAAGGCATACTGGAAGAAGATAGAATAGGAAGTTTCAAAATATTTATGTATAATAAAATCAAGCTAAAGGCTATACTGTAAATGCAGATTCTGGGGCGAACTTGACTTTACCTTCATTTTGTAGCTAGATTATAAAAACAACAGTGACTGTAGATTTACTTGTCTTAGTTGGTGATGTGTGATCCATAATATTTGAAAATGTTAGTGTAAAGTGGCAGAAGCAAGGCTGATGTTTTAATTCCTCCTCTCCCCTTATAAGGACTCTAGTTGGTCCTTAAAAAATAATATTAAACCCACAGCTTTTCTTACTGTAAATGAATGGCACATGGATGTGGGGTTTGTTACCTAATACTAACTATTGCATTCCCGTTGTCTGGTAAATTTAAAAGTAACTGCACAGCTGAAGGGTGTCGGTGTAAAAGTCCTATCTGACTTCAGATATCTTTATTTACACAAACAGAGCAGAGCTTTATATATTCTCATAATACATAGTTGGGCTGCCCATGTGGCAAGATGGAGCAATTTGAAACATGTACTGCACATATCTAGCAAAATTATTGCTCATGTTA